GGCCTGGCCTCTTCTCTGCTCATGAATTGAAAGCCAGAAGGACCTTAAATTCTTCCTTTTTCTTTCTTTCTTTCTTTCTCCCCTCCCTGCTTCAGGCTGAGCTCCCAAGGGAGGCCTAGGGGACAGAACATCCCACACTCTTAGTAAGTGTCAGGTTGTCTCAGGTAGCATCTGCTGCTTACCCCCTCAGTGCTTCAAAGGAAAGACAAGGAAAATTAAGGACAAGTGTGTGGCTCACCACAAATGCACCAGACCTCAGCCTGCTGCCTCCCCAGTGCCAGTTCTGCCCAGGGTGGGTCGCCTCTCCCAGATTGGGTGGCTGGGTCACAGCTTTGCTATGTGTTTGTTTCTGAGCAGCCTGACTTCAGCCAGTGACTAAGCCTGGAAGCTGTAAAGCTTGGTCATAAACCTGTCAGTGAGGCTGTGGGCTGAGCCAGGATACTGACCCTGGGTGTCTTCCTCAGCAGGGCAGAACCCCCAGGTCCCACTCTTCCCAATACCCAAGCAGCCCCCCCGCCATGCACTGGGAGCCAGGTACATCCCAGGGTCTTCCCATGCAGCTGCAGCTGCTTCAGGTCGAAGGAGAGCCATTCTGTTCATCGAATCTGTCCTTTAGTCACAGTGGGCAGAGAGAGCTGACGGCAGGGATCAATGTATGAACATGAGCCAGGCAGGGTTCCAAGCCAGTCTCCACTGCTACTAGTCAACATGGCCTTGGGCGCCTCGACTACACCTCAGCTTACCAGCCCGAAAGGTAAGGACAGTGGTACTTTAGGACAAAAGGACAGTGTGAGCATTTCCTGAGGTCCTGAGGATGAGGGTGGATCCAGGTGGAGGTCTGTTGGATGAGCAGAGCACAAGCAAGAGCTGGGAATGGGAGAGGTCTTTCTCTGTGGGCAGATTCTTTTCTCAGCTTGTTGCCCTTCTCCCTCTCCTCCCTCCTCCTCCCCTTTCCTTCCCTCTTCCACTGTCCCCCCTCCCTCAATCCACCCTCTCTGTTTCAAACCTCCCCTTTCTTCCTCCACCCTCTCACCCCTGCTCTCTTCTTTGCAAACACTTGGGTCCGGAGAGAGGTCCAAGCCTGCCTCTGCTGTGTCGAGCCGGACCATCCTGTCCCCAGGAGAAAGAGTGGTGACCCAGGTGGCTGAGAGGGCTCGCTCTGGTCTAGCTACTGGTGACAAAAACAGGCACAGCTCCCCTGTATACAAGCACTGTCCTCGCTCTAGTGGCCCTGCTCCTGTGACCCTTCCCTCTGAGGCTAAAGCTGCCTTGAGTTCCAGCCAGGACCCAGGCATAAGACCCTCTGGTAGAAGAGGGAGGCCAGGAAGGAGGAACTGGCCTGGAATCCTCAACCTGCCAGAGCGACGTTTGGTTCAGGAGTGCCCAAAGTGTTTGGTCAAAATCCACATTCCCAGGCCAGGCAAGGGAACTGTCGGGAAACCTGAGGCAGGCTCTAGGGGTATGCATTTGGCAATCTCCATGTGACCTGCTTGGCCTTAACCACAAAGCTTCAAGAAGGAAGCTGGGGCATAGTTTGCTTAACAAAATCATACCAATCCTAGACTAGAAGAATAGATTGCATTTCATGTTTCTTCACCCATAACCTCTCACTTCTCCTTCCTTCTCATGGGTGAGCCTGAAACAAAAGCATTCAAAGCCAGAGATGGATGAAAGGTAGAGACATCTGTGGCACTTTCCCACCCAGCTCAGGATCAGGGCTCCAGGAGAGGTCCATGGTTCTTGCCAGATCATCTGCATACAATGAGTACATAAATCAGTCACCACCAAATTTTATCCTGCCCTGGTCCACCCATTACTGCAGAGGCTGGAGGCTGGTCTGAGCTTCAAGCAAGGATGGGGGGGGGGGAGGAGAATTGGGTACCTGACCTGCCTGAGTGACTGTGGCCCTGGAGCTGCCACCTATACTGCTAAGGGAGACCTGTATCCAAGGGCACAGAGAGACAGCTTTAGCTTCCATCTGGCACCCACAAGTGTAGCAGGCAAGGTATCCTCAGCATAGTCTTCCACTGGTTTAGAAAATGAAGTAACGGGCTGAAGAGGTGGCTCAATGGTTAAGAGCACTGGCTGCTCTTGCAGAGGACCTGGATTCAATTCCCAGCACACACATGGCAGCTCACAACTGTCTGTAACTCAGTTCCGGGAGACAGGACACCTCACACAGACATACATGCAGGCAAAACCTACTCTGGGAACCCAGAGCTCTCCCAGAAACTGTCTTTCAGCTGCATGAGGAAGCCCTTACCAGCTGCTCTGCCCCTGCCCCTCCCATTCCATTCCCTGCATTCCCCCTCCCTTCCTTAAATAGTAGCTTCCAAACCTTCAAGGAAGATGGGACCTTCAGCCCTACCTACAGCATGCTGTTGCTCTGGAGACTGCTCCTGATTCTTAGGCAGAGAATGGCACGGTACTTACTACCTGCTAGAGTTAGAAGCTTATGGGTGAAGTGAGTGTGGAAATGTCCTTGGCCACAGGAAACACAATTCAACCTTGTGGATTGTGGAACCTGAGAAGCTCCCCTTAGATATAGCTACTCAGGTGCAGCTGGGATCTGGACTTATGCACGGATAAGAAATTCAGGACCAGTCAGTGTGAAGCAAAGTTGGAATTTATTAGGTAAAGGAGAGTACACACTGGACAGATTCCAGTGTGGGCATTAATAGATGCACTTAAATGTCTCAGTACACCAAAGTGTCTCTGTAATTCATTGGTTTTAGCTACACTGTTCAAAGGTTTAAAGTTTAAATAAAAAAAAAAAAAAACGCTTTAAATTTAAGTAGAAACAAACTAGTTTGCTTGTTTCTCTTAAAGAATTTTCTTTTGCAAATGAAACTATAAAATCACTTTTCAGATGCATTTTTCAGGCTTATGATTGAGAAAGGAAAGCTGGCAAGATTAGAACTGAAGGGTTTAAGATATGTATTTTGGCATTAAGCATGGTTCAATAGCTGTTCTATTATTCTTGTTTGAGCTATTGCTCCTAGAATGGCTAGAGTCAGAGCCTGGACAGCCCAAACAGGGCTCAGCCATCCATTCAGAGTAAGCCCACTAAATAGATGAGTAATAGTGAAAAGCAGGTGTAAAGAGACTTATTTGGAGAGAGAGAGAGAGAGAGAGAGAGAGAGAGAGAGAGAGAGAGAGAGAATAAAAGTCCTATCACACAGAGAGAGA